TGATGTGTAAAATGTTCTCGCTAGGATAATTTGATGTGTAAAATGTTCTCGCTAGGATAATTTGATGTGTAAAGTGTTCTTGTTAGTATAATTTGATGTGTAAAATGTCTTCAATAGGATAATTTGATGTGTAAAATGTTCTCGCTAGGATAATTTGATGTGTAAAATGTCCTCGCTAGGATAATTTGATGTGTAAGATATTCTCGCTATGATAATTTGATGTGTAAAATGTTCTCGCTAGGATAATTTGATGTGTAAAATGTCCTCGCTATGATAATTTGATGTATAAAATGTCTTCGCTATGATAATTTGATGTGTAAAATGTCCTCGCTAGGATAATTTGATGTGTAAAATGTCCTCGCTAGGATAATTTGATGTGTAAAATGTCTTCAATAGGATAATTTGATGTGTAAAATGTTCTCGCTAGGATAATTTGATGTGTAAAATGTCTTCACTAGGATAATTTGATATGTGAAATGTCCTCGCTAGGATAATTTGATGTATAAAATGTCCTCGCTAGGATAATTTGGTGTGTAAAATGTCCTCAATAGGATAATTTTATGTGTAAAATGTCTTCACTAGGATAATTTGATGTATAAAATGTTCTCGCTAGGATAATTTGATGTGTAAAATGTCTTCAATAGGATAATTTGATGTGTCAAATGTCCTCGCTAGGATAATTTGATGTGTAAAATGTCCTCGCTAGGATAATTTGATGTGTAAAATGTCCTCGCTAGGATAATTTGATGTGTAAAATGTCCTCGCTATGGATAATTTGATGTATAAAATGTGGACATTTTACACATCAAATTATCCTAGCGAAGGTTACACATCAAATTATCCTAGCGAGGACATTTTGCTAGGATAATTTGGTGTTAGAACATTTTACACATCAAATTATCCTATTGAAGACATTTTACACATCAAATTATCCTAGCGAGGACATTTTACACATCAAATTATCCTATCAGGACATTTTACACATCAAATTATCCTAGCGAGGACATTTTACACAGTCAAATTATCCTAGCGAGGACATTTTACACATCAAATTATC